TGCATTTGAAATTGCTTATATTTAAAATTATGAATCAACACTTGCAAGAACTCTCGATACAGAGACACATTCCACATTTAAATCCACATGTCTAATCCAAGTTGGAAAAACCTAGCTTGCTTGTGTAATGGTTTGTTTTCAACTCTGAACTGCAATACCAGGACTTCTTTAGCTTTAATTTTGAAAAGAGCATTAAAAAAATACAATGGGGCTCACTAGCCAAACTTTGAAGTTTTGCTGCCTATAGTGCAGTTGGAATTTCAAGGCAGAGCTTTGTATGCACACTTATACAGTAGGTTCACCTGGGGAGGGGTGGATAGGTGGGAAGTCGGATTATCTGGAGAGACAAAGAAAATGCATCAAACTTAAAATATCAGTTAATGAATTCATTGTCGCAGCAACAGAGGTCTCAGTCCTCCAACAAAACACGGAGACAATAATAATTAAAAAAACACAACAACCCATGATTTCTTTCTTGGAATGGCTGCGCTTCTTGAGAACAACATGGCTTTATGTTTGTGGTCAACCAGAGGAAAAGGGTATAAAGTGCTTCTCGGGAAAAACAAATCAAAATAAATAGAAATAATTCATGGCAGGGGGGAAAAAAGTTTTGATGGGCGGTTATCTCCAGCCAGTTTGCTCTGAGGATGTGTCTTTCCCCATAACTGTTTCCAAAGCAATTTGCACCCCAGATCAACAATCTCTACAATAAGTGGCGCTAGCAGCAGAGTCCATTTCCCCTGTGTATCCATCCCTTCTTTCACTGGTCTGTAAACCTTGTGTGGAAACTACTTCCCAGGCCGAAAATAAGCTCCACCAGCCATCCAGCTACATAGCCTTCATCCCATTGGCAGTGACGTTCTCAGTCACTCCATCGCTCACGGCTGCCGAATCGTGGAGGCCGGAGTAGTGCTTGAGCTCAGAGTTTGTCAGCAGCAACGGCTGCTCCCCCTTCTTGTGTGGCAAGAGGGGCTGCCGGGTGTAATGTTCACCATCTGGAATGTTCTCTGGCAGGTTCTGGTTTTTGCTCTCGGGCAAGAGGAGGATGCAGATGATGCAAATGAGCGTACAGCAGGCAAAGATCACATGGTGGAGGAAGTAGCCTTTCTGGTTATGGAGCTCCATGATGGGCGCCGTCAGCATACCGAAGCCTGCGCTGGCCTGGACCAGACCGAGCCCACCGCCCCTGTGGAAAACGAGCATCCTTAGCAACGACAGTGACCGTCATCAGTTGATCAGCATGCACTGATAATATTTAGTAACATTACGCGGAGCAGATTGAAATGCATGGGTGCACGTTTGTTGTCCACAGAAATGCGTCATCTCCAAAACATACTTATTAATAAGCTTGGACCTTGCTTACTTTTTAACAGTAAAAAAGGAAAGCAGTTTACTATGGTCATAACTTTCCAGTTAAACAATTACATGTACAGTTAAACAAATACCTACATATCTTCAGGACGCCTCTCCCAATATGCCCCCAGAAGAGCATTACGCTCTAGTAATGAGAACCTCCTGGTGATCCCCGGCCCGAGAGAGATCTGGCTGTCATCCCCCGCCTGGTGGAGCTCTCTGCCAGAGAACATCCATGCCACATGGGATTCACTACTTTTCCTTACGGCTTGCAAGGCAGAGATGTCCTGCCAGGCATGTGGCTGAGGACAGCGGTGGTCTGGCACTGTCACACTCCCCCTCCCCCCCTCCATATTTCCCCCTCCATTCCAGAGGCAGGTGGATACTGAAACTATCCGTCATCTTGGACACAGTACTGTTTCTCTGATGAATTGTTTTAATATATTTTAATGTTGTTTTTAATTTTCTTAAGTCGCCCTGAGCCCCTTTTCAGGGAAGGGCAGCCTAGTAAATTTAATGAAATAAATAAATAGTAAATAAATAGTTCCACTGTGAATGCATTTTGAAAAACCCTAACCCTAAATGCAAACACAGACAAAGTCTAGCTCTACCAGTCTTACTAGTCCAGACAAGCTCTACCACTGTTGAGTCGCCTTGTCCTTTCCTGCTATCCCAGGTGCCAAAAATCCTACAGTTTGTCTTCTTCACTGCAACAGAGGGCCAGACTCCATCAAAAACTTAACCATGGTTACTCCTTCTGGGCCTGAGAGGCACCCTTACTCAAAAGCAAAACTAAACTGTGTCAAAAAGACTGCAATTTATAGTGAAAGACAAATCTTTCTTCAAGTATCTGTTTGGAAAATGCAGCCTCCATGACTATACCGTACCCCCTGCATTCTTCTCCTCCGTCCCCATTTAAGCTTCAGAAATTAGAACTGGTTTTGCTATCTTCAACAGAGCAGGACTCTGATGAGCAAGGGCAGAAAGCCCTTAAATAAAGACATAAACAAACAGACCACCCCTTGAGCAGGGCTCCAACAGCAAGTAGCAGGATAACTAATGGTGCCCACTCCTAGAAGCAGAAGGGCCTATAAAAGAAGAAGAGCTTCTGGCCAGCTATTAAATCGTACCTCTGAGTGAACGTGGTAGGGTGGGGAGGGGAGGAAGGGGTCCACCACAATCAGGGGTACTTGTGAAGAGAACCAAGGCTGATTTCAGAGGCACAGAACTTCTGAAGGAATTAATTTTAGGTCAATTATACCCCAATAGGTCATTCCAGGGAAGTAGCTGTGTCACTATGTTGCACCAAAATTAAACAAGAGTTCAGCGATCCCTTAAAAGACTAACAAATTTATTGTAACAAAGTTTTTGAGAGTCAGAGCTCACCTCAGTATATAATATTTATTCAGATTTCTAATCATCCTCATCCTAACAGTCCAAATTGTAACTACAACTTAACACGCAATTGAATAAAACCAACAGAATAAATATCCATGACAATCCAACTACCATAGAATCCTAGAGTTGGAAGGGGCCATACAGACCATCTAGTCCAACCCCCTGCCCAATGCAGGTCCAGCCTAAAGCATCTCTGACAAATATTCATCCAGCCTCTTCTTGAAGGAGCCAACCACCTCCCTAGGCAGCTGATTCCATCTTTGAACCACTCTGACCGTGAAAAAGTTTTTCCTAATATCCAGTTGATACCTTTCTGCATGTAATTTAAACCCATTGCTTCGGGCCCTATCCTCTGCTGCCAACTGGAACAGCTCCTTGCCCTCCTCCAAATGACATCCTTTCAAATATTTAAAGAGAGCAATTATGTCCCCCCTCAATCTCCTCTTCTCCAAACTAAACATTCCCAAGGCCTTTAGCCCCATACAGCCCAACTCAACCACCAAGAAAAGACAGACATACATTTAAAAGATGCCTGCCTTATATGGTCTACTTTAGAGTCAGTATGGTTTAGTGGTTAAGAGTGGTGGACTCTAATCCGGAGAACTGGGTTTGATTCCCCCCTCCTCCACATGAAGCCTGCTGGGTGACCTTGGGCCAGTCACGGTTCTCTCAGAACTCTCTCAGCCAGGGGTCATTTCGTAGAAAAAGAGCTAGGGGAACTCATTAGCATAACTCATTAGCATATGCCACACCCCCTGACATCAGGGGCCCGGCGGTGGACCTGCAAGGCCAGCGGGAGTGTGAGGAAGCCCCGCCAAGGCCCTCCCTGGCCCCAGGCAGGCAGGGGTGGGGAGAGGCGGGGAGGAAGCAACTTACCCTCCCTCTTCTCCTGCCTCCTCCTGGCTGAATGAGGGCTGGAAGCAGGGCGGCCGGAAGCAGGGGGCGGGGCTTCGTCATGTGCCCCACCCCCTGTACCTCACCCAGGGGAACTGCGTTCCCCCGCGATCCCCCCCGAAATGACCTCTGCTCTCAGCCCCAGCAACCTCACTAGGTGCCCCTTGTGGGGAGAGGAAGGGAAGGTGATTGTAAGCTGCTTTGAGACTCCTTTGGGTAGAGAAAAGTGGGGTATAAAAACCTATTTTCCTTCTACTTTAAATTTAGATTCATTCATAGAGTAAAACCCAACAACCACATCAGTCACAGAGAAGGGGAAAACATTTCACTGTGGGAGCTTGGACAAGTGGCACCTTAATAATCTCCTTTGCACCTCCTTCCTCACAGTGCCTTTGTTTATAAAGTGCCTTTCCATTCCCCAGATAGCTTGGAAAGGTGACCACTGCACTCAGACTTGTGAAATTCTCTGTGTTAACACTAGGGAGCAGGCTTCCCTCAGATTTACTTAATAAGAACCGTTTTTTTTAGACTAGCAATAAGCATCGAATAGGTATTCCAAACTGATTTGTTTTAACATCATTATCCCTCACTCATATTTATCTTCTGCAAATTTCATTCAGCTAGGTGGGCTGTCATTCAGTTAACAGAATTTTTAAATCGCGCGCTGGAACGATCAGACGGGGAAAGTCCGCGAATGGCCCGTCGGGAACCGAAAACTCCAAATTTGAAGTAGTACCTTTTTAGTACGGCTCTGAAGCGTGGCAAAACGGGATGCTCATGGAAGATGGACGTTTCCCAGATGTTGATGTCTGGACATTACATTTACATCCATGAGGCACTTGTGCCTCGCGCAGATCTAAAGAGCCGTCTGATCGGACCCACTGTCCCAGTAATTGCTGGTGTAGCCTAAATTACAAAGCAGGAAGTCCTGGGACTGAGTCTTTCCTCTGCCATGTGAACTGACTAGGGCTGTGTCCATGCGCTCTTGGATACTGTTCTACTGTTTCACTACAGCAATGATTTGAAACAGATTTGGCTTGTCCATGCAGCAAGCAGGGAAAGACATTCTTTCACAGCCTTTGTCCCTTCCCCACCTGCAATATGGGCCCACTAGTACTAGACTAGCTTCCAAATTATGTGGATTACAAGAAGTGACCTAGTTGAACATGCACCGATGGGAGGAAGAAGCCCTGTGCACCCAAACACCCGTCACCAATGAGTGACAAGAGGTCTGACCTTTGAACAGCTTGGGTCCTCAATACGTGAAGGACTGTCTCCACCTCTACTGCTATACTTGGGGCTTGAGACCCACATGTGAGGCCTACTTTAGGGAACCAGCCTCAACCAAAGCTTGGCTGAGAACCAAGGGCTGGCCTTTTCTAGCACTGCCTACCATCTATGGAATGCCTTCTCCCAAGAATTGAGAATGACCACAGTCTGGAGAGGTGTGTGTGCGTGCGTGCTTCTGAACTGGTTTAAAAGCCAACCTGATCCAGAAGGCCTTTGATGTTGGCTGAGGGGTTGTTAATTAATTAATTCATTCTTACTTATTCATTTCTTACACTTATATCCTGCTCAAGGCCTGCTTAATGATAATCTGTCTGAGAGTGGTGGCACAAAGGATTTATCCTCTGGTTAATAACATCTGAGCTGAACAGTACGGCTGTCAGTTCTAGCCCCGTGTTGGTGTGAGCTACCAGCCTTGTCCCTAGCTCGCTGTCCACCGAGCAGTTCGAAAGCTTTGGCGAGTAGATAAAATGGGTACCACTCCTTAGAGAGGGTGGGCACACCAAAGACCCCCCCCCCTCGGTGGGGGAGGTGTTAGCCATCGACCGGAATGCTCAGCTCGTGAGATTGAAAGCTTAAGAAAAAATCTCTTCGACTCCGAGAAGCCTATAATGGGCTGTTCCGGCCAGGCGGTAGCAGTGTGGCGCTGCAAGACCTGGAGAAGCTGACGTCATCTAGCCGAGCCGAAGTGAATATGCCGACGGAATACGTCTGACTCTGCAGCTGAACAAACCCTCGCCAACTGTGAATGTGTGTGATTTAAAAGATATATGTTGTCCTCCCTTACCCCCATAAATCATTGTTAGTCCCGCGTGAATGAGTAACTGTAAATCGCTCAGAGCCAGCAAGCTCTGCAGGATTGAGCGATTAATAAATTGAAAGATTATTATTATTATTATGTTTGCACTGCTGGGGGAGGGGTGTGTGGCTGCTGCTATTGATAGTTTTAATGGTTTCTCATTTTACATTAGACGTTTGCTCAAGGCCTTTGAGCAGACACAGTGCTAGCAATATGCAGACCCTAACCCTATTTCACCTTCCCATTTTTTTCTGGCAGCGGTGGATGATATGGGGGAGTAGGCAGTGATAGGACAGAACCATGCAAGATTATGCATGGAGTGGAGAAAGTGGAGAAAGAGAAACCTTTTCCCTTCTTCCGTAACGGTAGAATGTGGGATCATGCTATGAAACAGACTGGCAGCAAATTCAAGACAGACAAAATGGATAGTTTCCTTGTGTAACTCACTGCCTCTAGATATGGAGACGGTCAACAACAGACCATAAATTTGTCCACCCTCTTTTAAGCTATCAGCCATAATGGCCAAATAGGGCCCTCTGGTGTCAGAGGCACAATGCCTCCAAGTTTCAGATGCTTGGGAGTGGTCAGCAGGAGAGGGTTTTTTTGTCTTGTAGGCTTCCCTCTGGCAATCGACTAGCCACAGCTGGAAAACACTATGGTGGACTAGATGGACCATTGGTCTGGTCCATGATAGGTGTTGAGTATACCTTCCTGGGTCGCACCAGGATCCCTGTATTGCTTTCTTCAGGAAACTCTTCAGTTGTACTTCTAAAAACCATTTTTTGCTTGCATTTATTTGTTCTCTTATCTCAATCACATGTTACATGTCCCTGCATTATTCTACAGAAATATGAATGCTATCCATTAGAAGTAATCCCTTTTCTATAGTTTTCATGAATCCCAGAGCAAAAGAGAAGTGAATCAAAAGGCTTTGTTATTGGCAGAGGATTGCAGGTTCTTGCTCCACTTCCTTCAACGCTTCCAATTCACCCTCTGAGCCCCCAACAAACCAGAAGTTTAAGGAAATCCCATAACCGCTCAGGGGAGCCAGGCCCTTGAAGTAGTCAGGATCCCTTCGGTTCATTGCTGCTGATCTCTTACAGGTACGGAAAGTGAGAGGTGACCCAAATAGTAAAAAATGAACCTTTCATCCTTTACTTTCTCTCCCCTTTCTTCCTAATTAACTTGTTCGATAAAATATCACATTCTTGTTCGGCAGACGCAAACGGACATGGACACACACAGAGTTGTTCTGTCAACGTTTACTGCAGGAGGATTATGAGTTTCATTTTGTTAAATATCTGAAAAGCAGCTTTATAATGCACTCCTTGGCACAAGGAATTAGAATTCTTCAATGATGCCTAAGCTGTTGGCAGACTGGAATGGGGCTGACCACAACTAAGGGGTCAGCATACTAAAGATTCTCAGCAACTGATGTGCCAAAGAGCTGCCGCTCCACATCTCCCTGTATTGCTTTCTTCAGGAAACTTAGTTGCCATCCTCTAGGTGGCACCTGGAGATCTCCTACTATTACAATTGCGCTCCAGACGACCAAGATCAGTTCCCCTGGAGAAAATGGCTGCTTTGGAGGGTGGACTCTATGATATTATACCCTGCTGAGGTTCCCTCCCCTCCCCCCCAATCCTGCCCTCCCCAGGGTGCACCCCCCAAATCTCCAGGTATTTCCCAACCCAGAGTTGGCAACCCTACCCTTGGCCTGATTATTTTTGCCCAGATCTGGAATGGTCTGCTAGATTTTACAACACTTGCTAGGGAAGAATGTAGGCGGACTGGCAAAAAGAATGTGAGACTGGGACTAGCCACTTTGCTTGATAAAGCTGAGTCCCCTGAACCAATGGCTAGCTCATTGAGGGAAGAATTCCTGTAAAAGAGTCTCTGGACAGAAAATCCAACCCAGCACAGTACAGGCACCATAGTTATCATGTTGTATATTTTAATCCAATCAAGTATTTAGAGCTATAGTCTACTGCCTTCTCTCCCTTCAAACAGGCCGAACAGATTCCTTTGCACCAGCTGTCATTCAAACACGCCCATCAAGCCTCTTTTCCCCTTCTAGGCCCTCCCCTCCTTCTCTGATTGGAGAAGAGGCTTCCGTTGTGCCTTGCACGCCCTCTTTCACCGATCAGAAGGGTTTAATCCTGGTTTTCGCAGACTTTCACCATCTTCCACCAAGTTCATGAAAATTCAGCTTTTGTTTGGTCTTGCGCTTATTCCCTGCAACTGAACTCCTGTCCTGATGCCAGAACCGAAACACAAGCCTGTGAGCATGCTCAGTTGCTTGCCTCCTATTTGTGAGCCCTGGGTTCAGTCGTGCTGATTAGACCCAACCTCAGTCTATGCGTTCAGCTCTCTCTGGATTTACTGCATGGGATCTTCCACTTGGCTCCTCTCTACCCCTTTCTCTGCCAAGCACTTTCCTCGGATCTCCCAAGCCTGTCAGCTGCTATTTTACACAAGATCTCAAGCTTCCAGCCATGTCTGGTGGGGGAAACCCATGAGGGAATTGAATGAGCAGCTGCAAAAAACAGAACACGCACTGTTCAGCGGCTGGCTCCACCAGGTGAATTTCCATAAACTTGTGCAAATTTATCTTTGTAGGGGAAATTTTTTACCGGTAAATAGTAAGATTCATGACATAATCAACAGTTCAGCAATGTCAGCTGAATGCAGTTCTTCAATATAATAGAGCGCTAAAGTAAAGCATTAAAGAGATAAGATCATCTTAAGGAAGTATGGACAGTCATAATCAATATTCCCCCTAAGCTGCGGAGTCTCATGAGCCAAGATTCTACTTTGTGAGCCAAAAGACGTACTAGGATTAAAGTTGTGAGCAAGTGTACATTTTTTTTTAAAGAAAGAGAGAGGGAGGGAGGAGATTTGGGGGCAATACCTGGGGAGGGATTTTCATTTCTCTTAGACTCTATGGTATATCATAGAATCTATCTTAGTTTTCCCTCCCTCCCTGTATCCTCAGAACAACCCTGTGAGGTAGGCTATGCTTAGAAAGAGAAGGACTGACCCTGGGAGCTTCACTGGCAAGTGAGGATTTGAACTGGGCTCTCCCAGATCCTAGACCCACAGTCTAACCAATACATCACCCTAGCTGCTGAGCCAAGAAATCAAAGGGATTTGCTTATTTATAGCTAGGAGAGAAAGAAAGAACATTGGAAGGAAGGAAGGAGGGGTGGAAATAAAACAAATAGATGAAGAAAGAGGAGAGAGAGAGAGGCTCATTCTTTTTGCATGCACCATCTCCCTGCATTTGCAAAGAACAGCAACGTGTGAGCCTGTTTTCCATCCCTGGCGCTAGACAACTGCATTCCCATGCCTCTCCCTTCACAACCATGTGTGACAGAGCTCTGCTCCCCTCTCCCCCAAGGTACCCCATCACCCCTCCCCTGTGGGATGGGGGATCTTTTACCTGTGATCTTCCAGCTTGCCTGCCTTTGCCCCATGCCCCGCATCAGCAACACAAGCTGCAGCCATTATCTGCCTCTTAATCAGCTGTTCAGCAGAGGGGACTAAGGCAGCTGGAAAAGCCCTGGCCATGCCACAAGGCTTCATGGGAATTGTAGTTCCCCATGGAGAGGATGGCCCCACATGCCAATGGCAGAAGGGCACCCAAGAGGACTACAGAGACGCAGATGCTCTGCAGCGCTGTCCATGGCAGGAGTTGTAGTTCTTCGGAAAGGCTGGGGGGGAGAGGCACTGCTGAGTGGGAAGAGAAGGAAACCGAGAGAGTGAAGCAGCTGTGCTCAACTGAAAAAAGGGGGACTGATGCAGCAGCCATGAGCGGGAGGGTGGGGCCACCCGAGAGGAAGCACCCCTGTGCTTAAGCTGAAGAGCCGTGCCCAGAGGGGTGAAAATCTGTGGGCATGCTCACGGATGTGCATGTTACTTGGAGCCCTGGTTGGGTTAAAAGATGAACTAAAGCGTGCCAGTGCTAAGGATAAATGTGGATGTACTCTGGGAATCAGATAGGTACATGTTGTGACTAGATGGAAAGTGCCATCAAGCCACAGCTGATTTATGGCAACCCCATCAGGTTTTCGAGGCAAGAGACGTTTCAGAGGTGGTTTGCCATCGCCTGGCTCTGCATCACACCCCTGGTATTACCTGGAGGTCTCCCATCCAAATACTAGCCAGGGCCAATGCTGCTTCGGTTCTGAGATCTGATGAGACAGGGCTCTCTTGAGCATGACTAGACAGCTAGACTAGACAGCTACATGTTATGATTAGACTGTCAGATTAGGACTAGGAAGATCTGGATTGTAGCCCCCCCCCCTTTGGCTGTTGAATTACTGAATGGTCTTGGGCCAGTCATTCTCTCTCGAACTGACCAGCTTCACAGGGGTGTTTTGAGAAGGGTCACTATGTATGCTTAATGAACTCTTTGGAGGAGGAAGGGGGTATAAAACACAAATAAATGTGGGGGCTGTGGTAACAGAACTTGTGGAATGGGGCACAGTTAAGTCGCCATCCTGGATCCCCTCCTGAAAACTAGTTCTCGCCTAGCAATCTATGATACCAGTGGACCGCCTTGTGCAAAAGTGAATGACTTCAAAATTACACAGGTTCCCAAAATGAGCTTTTCACAGATCCTACCTGATTACCGTCGGCGTGATTTCAGCACAGAAGAAAACACTGAGACTTCCAACTGCATGTGATGAAAACATGCCTACGATGGAAAACGCAGTGGAGAATCTGTCCTTGACGCTGTCACTCATACCTGTTAGAACACATGAATAAAGGTTTATTTCCATCCCACAAAGATATACGAATCGTCTATTAACACATGCACTGAAGAAGTGTGCGTGCCCACCACCGCTCATACCTTGAATAAAACTTTGTTGGTCTTAAAGGTGCCACTGAACTCAAACTTTGTTCTTAATACATTATAGCTGTTTTAAATCAGCTGTATTGCCTGGCTGATTAAATGTAGGGACTCTTCAGAAGACAGTGAGTAAGTCTTAATGACTGGTGCTCCCAGGGATAGGAAGCTAAAGCCCCTGTTCCCACTGGTGTTCCTGAATGCACTCATATTTGCCCACAAAAAAGAAAAGTAACACACCATTCCTCTGAAGAAAAGTAAAGGTGCTTGGATGCAATGAAGGCAAAATCTGCCTTCTACACATCACACTTGATGTCCCAGTGCAGGCTGTCAATGAACACTGGGATCCACCAAGGACACATGGTTAACACCTGCACAGTCTGTTGCTGTAGCCTAGGATGAACATTCCACGTGCTAGTCAAAAATTAACTTTCATGTCACAGTGAAAATAAAGCCAGCTGAAAGGACATTGTGAGCTGACAGGCAAAAAGCACGCTCACGTCTCCATTTCCTTTTAAGCTGGGACTCAAAATTCAGTTTGCGCTGAATGCCAATAAGGAGTTCTCACGCAGCGGCACATGACTTCGCCATACAAGAGTTTCCACATCTGCTGCAGAGAGTAGTGATGCCTCACGCTAGATGGATTTCAAGAGACAAGCACAGAAGAGGCCAGATCTTATGCATGATGGGAGCAGAAGAGAGAATAAGAGCATGTTTTACTTCCCCATGCCCCAGTTGTGCCTGCCCTACCACCAGTTGTCACAGGGTGCATCAAATACATCAGATAGGGCACACATCTGGGTAATATTTGGGAATTGGCCATGCAGTCTGAATGTGCTGTTTCCCTCCCATTTTGAACATCATGTCTGTGTGGGTGACTGACAGATCCAGTTGGTCAGCCATGTTGGTCTGAAGCAGTACAACAAATTGAGAGTCCAGTGGGGGCACCTTTAAGACCAACAAAGGTTTATTCAAGGTAGGAGCATTCGTGTTCAAGGCACCCTTTGTCAAATACACTGGAATGGGAAGTGACGGGAAATCTTCATTCTCTCCTGTCAGGCATGGAGGGCACTTAAACACTACCCCCCCTCCAAAAGATGCTGTTATGTCAACAGACATCCTAATATCCCTTGCATACATTCAGTGTTCTAATATACTATTCTGAAAAAGGAATACACTAAAATACATTAGAATACAGAGGATTTATAGTCCTTCTTGTTGACATTTTTCTGCTAGTTTGACATATTTATTGCTTTACAACTGTTGACCCTATAACCTTAACTTGTTATTAAGTGTCACTTTGCATATCTTGATCATCATCATGTTGCATGTTAATTTGCTGTTCATTCTCTGGCTATAAGTTTGAACCTTGCAAGCAATTCTAACGTCTTTGAAAAGCTCCTACCTTGAATATACCTTTGTTGGTCTTAAAGGTGCCACTGGACTCTAAATTGGATGACTGATGGTGCTGGCTATGTAAATGTTGGATCAAATGCTTGAAGCATTAATTTCTATGTGTGGGAGGGAAAGGTAAGGGAGAGAGTGGAGTGCCAGGGGGCTATACCTGAATCCAGTGTTTTGGAAGAGAAAGTAAAGTCAGAATGTCTTTTAGATGAGTTAGGAGGACAGTCTCCCTGACAGTGCTTCAAAAGAGTATGATGTTAATGCATGATTCCATTTTGCAGTTCAATTTGTGAATTTTTTAAAGCTGAAAAGCAACCAACAAATCTATTAAAAGAATAATATATGATTTCTGAAAATTGTACCTGAGTCTGGAAGTTGACTGTATTTTCCAATCACTGGATTACAGATCATAGACCGTTGAAAATGCGGCAGAAAGGAAACAAATACACAAATAAGAATATAAAACGAGAAGCGCTACAATTAAACATCAGTAATTAAAGGTAAAGAAAATTAAGTGGCATTGTAAAATAGCTTCCTTCCCCCTTCCAAAACATTTTCCTTTCAATGCCGCAGCAGGGTGGAAACATATTTTTTTCTTTCCAAACCGCCTAACGGGGCATGCAATTTCCTGCCTTATTCCCAATGGAAGGATAGAATTCTAATGAGATGATAACAATAAAACACACACTGGTGAAGCATTCTAGGGCTAGAATTAGTGCAGAGACTAAACAAAGGCCTTTATGTTGGTAATGAAGGGAGAATTTTTTTAAAAAAACAACAGAGTCATGATTTGCTGTACCCAGAGGGCACAGCCAGCAAAGGGTTTGTTAGAAAGGAAAACCCTTTCGTTTTTATTTTATTTTTTTTACTCAGGCATTGCTCAGCTTGGGTGACTTTGCCAAAACACCAAGTTTAGTATGCAGATTGAAAAAAAAATTACTCACAAGCTGCTTATGGCCCATGTATTTTTTTATAAAGTAAGCAGAATGCACAGTGAAAGGAGCATTTATTCTTGCACAAAATCTGGTGTTCAGAAATGTAGGTTACACAGACCCTTTGTTTACTGTACAAACTCAGGAGGCGTCACTTGGCCTGCCTATCAGCTGGTGATGGCCCTAACACGGGATCCTAACTCTTCAGAGCTGTCCCTCTATTTTTATTTATTTACTTCGTGTCTTTCCCTGCGGGGACCCAAAGTGGCTTATGACATCTTCCCCTTCTCCATTTTATCCTCAAAACAAACCTGTGAGGTAGATTAGGCTAAATATCTGTGACTGGCCAAAGGCTACCCAGCAGCCTCCGATGGCAGAATATTTTTGCATAACTTCGTTTCATGTTGATATAACGTTTACATCCAGTTTATATATAAAGCAGATAATTTAATGGCCATTCCACAAAAATATTTACAGCTGCATGACTCATGCACACTAACAATGACGTACGTAATAAAGACCTGTGTTCACTGAGCAAAGGAAGATCTTTTTTAAAATATGTGCATGTGTGTGAATGTGTGTGTGTGTGTGTGCGCACCGGGAAGTCATGGTGACCTCTGGTGACTGACCTGTTGTGTCTTGTGTCTTAAATACATGTTAAGCTTGAACCTCAGCCAGGATTCTAATCTGTAACAATACCATTGGCTGAAGTATTATCTGTAACCAATCAAATGTAAGATAATTGTGCTGGAGGGAACTATGTTCATTGGATGTTATATCTGGATTATGATTGGACCTTAACTATGTGAGGGCGTGGCTACACCAGCCCGGGATTGTTTTAAAGGGAGCTTTGCTCCTCTGTTTGTTGTTGTTGTGTCGTCGTGTCTTGTGTGATCTTGGAAGTTCTCGTTCTTAATAAAGCTGATTCACTTGTTACTTACAACGTTGTTGAGTTGCATACATGACTCCTACTGGGGGCCTGGAGGATATTCAGAGGTGGCTGAATAAAGCCTGCCCCCGCCTCCTCTGGTATTTCGAGGAAAGTCGCCCAACCAAGTACTTGCCAGAGTCAGCCCTGCTAAGCTTCTGAGATCTGATGAGACTGAACTTGCCTGGGCTAGCCAGGTCAGGGCAGCAGAGGAAGATCTTATGGTGGTCTTAGGCTTATGGTGGTCCAGCTTTTTGTTGTTTCTCCCCATGGAGACAAACACATATCTCCTGCAACACCTCCTTCTAAATCAGCATGCACTCCCCTGGTTCAATAACTGATTGGTCCTACTTCCCCTGTAGTTTCTGCAGGACTTCCAGACTTCAGGGGAGCTCTATTTGCAGGGGTGGAAGAAGCTACATTAGCCAAAATCCTATTTTTATGCGAGCCTTTAAGGCACAGGAATCCTCTCCCGCACTGAATCTGGCAAGCCCAGCTACAGACTATTGCTGAAAGAAAAATAAATCCTACACAAACCCAGATTCTGATGATGTTTTGCCCACTGCATTTAAAGTCCAATTCAAATGCAGAAAGTCTAATGTCCTTGGACCAAGGGGAATTTGAGTCTTAAGAAGCCTGTGCTATAGTTAATTGATACCGGTACTTGGCCTGAGGGTAGATTTGCTATTTTATTCAGAATGGATAATATGCTCTCGGTTTAGTCACTGAAAGTATGCTTGCACAAGAAGCATGAAGAGGAAATAAGGAGAATACAAAGGGGAACAATTTGCTGTAAATACTATGCCAGTTGTATGCTAGATAAGCAAATGGTCCACCTTCCCTCTATGAAATCTAGTCCCAGTTAAAAATTAGCCACAATGAAGTGGTCAGAATAAGGTGATTTACAGAGCTGGCTGTCAGAACGAAAAGAACAAATAATCTATCTACATTCTTGGACACTGTCACACCCTGAGGAATGGGTAATAGATTCAGGAAGCGCTTCTTTACTCAACTGGATAACTAAACTGTGGGATTCACTGCCAGCGGATACAGTGATGGCCACTAGCACAGATGGATGTAAAAGGGAATTAGACAGATTCATGGAGCAGAGGTTCCATCAGTGGCTACTAGCCATGGTGACTAAAAGGAACCTTCACATCCCTGAGGCTGTAGACCTCTGAACATCAGGGCTTAAGAGGTAATGTCAGGAAAGGCCTTTGCTGTGTTTGTTGTTCACCACAGCAACTGGCCGGTCACTGTGTGAAACAGAATGCAGGACTAGACGGAGCAGCTCTTTCTTGTTAGCTGCTCCCCAGAGTATTTTCCCCTCTGTAGCTAACATCAGCTTGAGAGCCTTGTGCAACTGGGAAGAATGATGCTCTGCTGAACAGCATAAAGGCACACAGCAGTTCAAGGTCACTCACAGTTGAGAAGGCCCAGTTGTAGAAGCGAAGCCAGAGCCGTGAGGATCATGAAAAGCAGGAGTCCCCCTCTTCGCCCAAGGAATCCGACAACTGGGCACATGGCCAGGCAGGATGCCAGTGTAATCCCTGCCATGGTATAGTAGTCTGCGTAGAAGTTGTCAGTGAGCGACTGTTGAACTTCGTGACCCATCATGCTCTTTGCAAAGCAGTGGTGTATCCCGTACCCGGTCAACCTGGGGCAGAGAAAGAGCAGTAAGAGGGTGCTAGTCAATGAACAGCTGAGCAGACAATGAAACAGAACGCGAAACTAGAATGCAAACAAACAAAACCAACTCAGGCCAGACTCAAAAGGTTCAGCCTCAGAAAAAAGAGGCGGATAAAGGTTCCACATAACGCTCTTGTCCTCGCTTTGCATTTTAAGACCAGTCTAAGCATTAACATAGCTGGGCAAGCACGCCAGTTCCAAGAAGTACCTCCCATTGCTGCGCCACAATATCCAGCACGACCTGGCACTGGATGTTCCCAGTTGTCCATGCCAACAACAGAAGATGCTTCTGAGAACATCTGGCATGGACTGACAAAGGAGCTTTCCAATGTAATCAGAAGGGTCCAAGTGATGAGTCACCCTGGACATTACTGTAGGGAGAGATGGCTTGCTACATCAAAGAAGTTTGCTGCAAGGATGAAGTAACAAGATGGCAGAGCCATTGCGACTTTCTCTGGACTATGTATGAGCAATGAAGATCTCTTAAGATCCGCTTACATTCCAACACAGCAACAGTTCTGCTGTCTCAATGCAAACAAGTATGGGTAGGAAGGGAAAGCTGTATTGATGAAAGCTGCAATGATGTCATTTTGGGGTGGTGTGGGGAGTCTATATCGCACCTAGCAAGCTGCTGCTACTGTGTCAATCAAGGCTGTATAGGCCCTGCACTAAAGAGATCAAAGTTCTGTAACCTGGACAAGTTATGCACATTAAGAAAGGTTGAATATAATACTGTAATCCTGAGGAGGAACTATGCAGGTCTCCTAACACAAGTTGTGGGTAGAAAGCACAGTTCCACCTTGAGTCTGATCCTACAGCCCATGTCCACTTTGAAGAACAGCCAGATCTCTTACTGTTTACAAAACACACACCTGTAGTTTTGTATTCCCAGTGCTGAAAGACAGGACGTTCTCCATCTCCTTATCATTGCCTGTGGACACTAGTATAACACTTTGGACAGGAGGCATAGTTGTACTTACGAGTTTATGCACAGCACAACAATGTTCTTCCAGAGTTTTCTGGTTTCTACCACTTTAATGATGCAAACTTTCTTTGGCCTCCTGGAAAGCTCTTTCTCTAGTTCTGAAATGAAAGCAAAATTTCACATTTGAAAATGCTGTCTGTTTGACAAAACAGAGTAGACAAGCAGCAGCAGGGCTTTTTTGTAGAAAAAGCCCAGCAGGAACTCATTAGCATAACAGGCCACACCCAACAGCAGAAACTCATTAGCTTATTAGGCCACACCCCCGACAGTGCCGCTCATTAGCATATAAGGCCACACCCTGTTCCTTCCTTTGGCTTGCCTGGGCACCCTGCGGCTGCGGGGAGCCCGGGCAAGCCAGCCCTTGGACAGGCCGGGGAAGGCATGGGGAGGCATTTAAATGCCTCCCCAATCCTTCCAGGGACCCCCCTCGCCCACCCGCCTCCGAGTCGCCCGCTGCTCTCCAGGCCTTCCCTCTGTAGCCTCGCACACAGAGGTTTTGGCTGTAGTGGGCGTGGCCAACTCTGAAGCCAGCCGAACTCCATTCCTGTGCATTTCTGCCCAAAAATTGCCTTGAGCAGCAGTATATGGATGTTGTAATTAGAGCTAGAGGCTTCTCTGTTCCTTCCTTCAAGAGTCCATGACAAGCAGATTTGTCTGGTATAAGCTTGCTACAGACTCCTCAAGCTTATTTACTGTGAAGAGAAACAAGAGTTCAGTATCTATATATTTAAATACTAAACCTAACTCTAGAGTGTGGCTCAAAAAATGAAGACAAGTACAGAACGGGGAGATGTTTCCACAAATCTGGGGGACACCTCTGGTGTGCAGAATTTTTAAATCTTTTTTTTTTTAAAGGAACAGATAAAATTAATTTTTTAAAATGCCAAGATCTTACAATATTACCTTCTGAGATCTCAGTAGCCATTTTGGAATGCCTAGGCAACTGCAGACACTTGCCTTGATAATCTAAAGTATCTACTGCAGTTTCATTTTGAAACCTGAGGTGGGGTAAGGAGTGGGAACCAGGCAGGTAAAAAAGGCAAGGAGAAAGATGGGAAAGGAGTAGGAAGCAAAGCCAGCGTGCAGGGAGGGAGGAAAGAAAAAATGAACAAAAGGGGGGAAAGGAAGCAGGGAAAAGGAAGAAGCTGCAAGCAGGAAGGAAGTAATGTCTGAAGAGAAAGAGGCTTTGGTAATATTCTCTAATGGTTCCCCTAGGGATTTTAATCTTGTGTTGATACATTCCAAGATATTTTGTGATTTTGGGAGCATTTATTCAGGGATGAAAGGCAAGGAGCTCTAGCACTAAATGCCCACCACGTTTGCCAGCTGATGCCATGCCCCAAAGAGAAAGAAGCTGATGGGGGAACTGAGAAAAGTTGGTGGGACGGGAGGGAGGAAGGGCGAAGAGACAGTGGAGACTCCGGAGGGCTGTGAAGAGGAGGGAAGGAGGGAAAGTGGAGGCGGCATGGGGAGGACAACTATTGAGAGGAGAATAAGACTCATCATACAAATCACTGTAGGTCTCCAGCTCATTTACATCTTCCTTAACCCTATGCTCACGCATCATTTCTTTGGCTTCAATACAAACTTGTAAAACATTATATTTTCCAGATTCTATGCCATACCTAGAATATTATCAGCCATGAAGGAAAACATTCTGTTCTAGTTCTGGAATGTCATAAACAGAGCACATCATAGTAATCGCCCAGGCTGAACCCCTTTGGATCCCTGCACACCAGTACAGTGTATCTCCTCCTACTTGATGCCTGTCTGCATTCCTCCTTAGCTTGCTCTCTTCTCCTTGACCACATTCCCATAGAATTTGAAGATTAAAGGTTGCACCTCGTTTTCAGATAGCTATGTTGTTTTCAGAGTAGAATTTGGAAATAGGGGTGAAATAAGCTTCAAATAGTTATTTACCTCATAGCCGGTAGAAAGTAAGAATTGTCTTCAAGTGACAATTCAAGGAGAATACTGGGTTTTTTTTTCCTTTAAGGCTCTTGATATGAGATATATAACTGATATAGATAAGTGGGCTGAATTAGTTCCCAAGAACTTTCTCCATTTTCCTTCTAAGGCTTTAACGTCCTGCAACATCATGTCTTTTCCCAGGAATAGTCTTTTCCCAGGAATAGTCATGTCTTTCTACATTTTTCAAAAACGTTCTGCCCAAGGAACCTAAAAACTTGCACACTACATCATGAACAGTTGGTCATAATCAAGGTTTTTTTTTTACTGTCCCTGTTTTTTTAAAAAAATCTTGATCTTTGTGACTTTTGGCAACATCAGCCTCTCTTAAACTTGGAACTAACTCGATTTCCTCTTTTCCATATACATATGTACAGGAAATTTCCTTTGACGATTTTTTGTGCAATGACATGGAGAAAAGTCCAAAAGGGAAAAAGATGTTTTGCTCATATTCTTCCAACTTTTATTACATCCTTTCCTGTAACATTACAGGCATTGTTATTTGTAACCTTTGAAATTCAAGGACATTATAGGAAAACAAGTACAGACCTGAAGAAATCACGCCATTTGTTAAGAAATAAGTTGCCCGATACAACACAGTCCATTAGGAGCCACAACCTTTTCTGCTTCCCTTAAAGTTTTTTTGGGGACATGAGTTAGTAGAGAATTAACCTTGCAAACTTAAGATCAGTTCCCTGTGAGTAAGCCCCACTTAGTAAAATGGGACTCACCTTCTGAGTAGATCTGCATAGGCTTGGTCCCTAAAGCGACTGTGTTGAAGCCTTGAATGTGTGTTGCTGCAGCAAGACATTTTTATTCTATGTTGGTTGCTTTTAATTGCTAGGATATTGTTTTATTATGCTGATTTTGATTTTACTGGCTGTTTACTGTTTCTCAGTATCTTATTAATTGCAAGCTGCCTTATTAATTGCAAGCTGAAAGTGGGAGATAAAATATTGGAAACCAAATAAATGCAGCAGCAGACATGAAAGAATAATAATTAGGATTCTGGTTTCTAGTACCTATCAGTGTGCTAGCTTTCTATCAGTACAATGTATAAACTGCATAACTGCATAAATATGAACACTCTGTAATTAAGCAGCACATCTCACCACATCCCCTTCTGCTGTGTAAAGAAACGGAATTCTCTTACATAGAACGCTGGGGAAATCACAGATGCTTTGGCATCATTGTGATCCAGCAAAATGTATTGCAGAGTGCATTGCAGAATTGGGTTTCCCCTCCATGTTTTAAAGGATCAGGTCCTCATGATACCAGAGTACTAATTACTATATATTTAGCAGCTGTGTCAGGCTCTTCTTTTGCAACAGGACAATTTAACTATTCTTTTCATTTTAGAGGTGGGGGGGGCATTTATCATTCCCTGTCCAGGAACATTAAGAGGATAGCAGAAATGCACCCTATCTTAAAATCCCTGCAGGAGTCATATGAGATGGTTTCTCCATCTCATATCCGTTTCACAACAAAAGACCTAACATCAACAGAGCTCCAAATAATGTTCAGCTCTAGGTTACATCTCCATTGAGAAAACGGCATGCGAGTAACTGATCCAATATGATAGTTGGCTGCTTTTGAAGATACTGTCCTAAATCACAGAATTTAAATGTAGGTTTCCCCCCAAAGCCTAAATCCAGCATTTTGGAGCCATTATATTGATGTCACCACTGAGACATACACCGGGATGCCTGCCCCAATTCCATCTTCATTTTTCCCCCAGTGCACATTCAGAAATGGCCTTTCTAAAGGTTGGTTCTACCCGAATATCATTTTTGAAATATTTCAAGCCTGCCTCCAGAATGTCATGGGTGGTTTGCCAGATCGAATTCCTGTTGGTGGATAACAAAGAACTGGCCTGGCAAGGAATTTATACAGTGCCTCTGTTACCATAAACAAACAAACAACACAACACAACACACACAAGTTTCCACAGGCATTAATAGGTCTGAAAAACAGGTAACTGCAAATACAACAGATTTTTCGAGACAAATCCCCACAAAGAGCAAAGTAGCTAAGGAAGCAGATTGTTTACAAGGGGTGCTTTCTCCAAGCGCTCTCTATGTCTCTCTCAGCACTGTAGTTGCTTCAGTGTGCTTTCCTTGTCTGCATCTAAGAGCTGAGCTATAGGACTAACAGTCAATTATGATAAATGTGGAGTCCAGTGGCACCTTTAAGACCAACAAAGGTTTATTCGAGGATATGAGCTTTCGTGTGCATGGCACACTTTATAATATACCTTTGTTGGTCTTAAAGGTGCCAGCTGGACTCCACATTTGTTCTACTGCTTCAGACCAACACAGCTGACCAACTGAGTCATTTATGATCTATTTTTTGCTGGATGTGTACCTCTTTCAGAACTTCAGGTGAAGGACCAAATCCTTGAATGCTCTTCTCCATATAAAACAACCCCCCAAAAAAACTACAATGCCAGGGGCAGGGGTTCCCAGTGTGGTGCCCAGGGATGCCATGGTGCCTGCCGACACCTTTCTTGGTGCCCATCAAGTGATTTCAGAAAGTGGGTGGGGCTGATTTCCTGCTGAAAATCTGATTGGCAATGCCAATCAAAATAACATGGTTTCAGTGGCAACTGCTACCACGGTGTTTATTTTATTTCCTCTCACCTTTCTTTCCTAGGGTATTTTTAAATTACCCCTCTTCTCCCCTGCACTTGGGCTTCTACTAGGGTTGCCAGGTCTGATCGTCACCTGGAAGTGACGGAGGCAGGCTGGTGACTTTGGGAGTGATGCTCTAGTTCTTGGGCAAAACTCTATGGTAAAATCGCCCTCAAACCATAGAGTTTTGCCCACAACCCCCCAACATCACCGACACGCCTATGTCACTTCCAGGTGATGTCTTTGAGTTGTGCTCGACATTGCTGTTTGGAGGGGGGGAATTTCCTCCCGCTGGACAGCTAGCGGGCAGGAACCCATGAAAGCAGAGGATCCCCCGCCCCCACCTGGGGAATGGTAACCCTGGCTTCCTCTGTGTGTGAGGCTCCACCTCCTTTGGCAGCCATTCTGTGGTTGTGCCCACCACACTGTGTTACAATTCCAAATGTGCCCACAAACTCAGAAGGTTGGGGACTCCTATGCTTGGGAGAAGATTCCAGCCTGACCTTACTACTGACACACCACTTTTGTGTGTGCAGGGAGTTCTTTTAAATATGGGGGGCCTTTTTAAGATTTGACTCTCACCTTCTGTGCAGAGTGGAGCACTACGGCTCATTAAGATGTGAGGCTGTTGAACACAGAGCTCAGCTTTCAGTGGACGTGTCTAGGGCCTTGATGGAACCCGTGTACACTGCAGCCTGGAGAAAATGTGCTTATACATTACCTCCAGTCTGGCTGCTTCCCACATCCCCCATCTGGAACTCCCTGATCGCAAGCCCATTAGAGCTCCGTGATGGGTTGTTGTTTTCCTCACTTCCTGGCAGAGCTGTGGGGAACCACCTGTGGCCTGTGAGAAGGAGCCAACCAAACAGGTAAATGAAGCTTGTTGGATTGACCGAGGGAGAGTCAGGACAGGAAGGGGTAGCGACATGCTCCACTGGACTTAATTCACAATCTGCCCCAGTACACTAGAAGCAGTTCTTGATTACACCGTGCCTACATAGTGCTTTTTAAAATGTATATAGGCTCCCATGTTCCTATTCAGTCCATACCATATATATCCTAAATCTGCTAAGTTTAGCAAGACATCAATTTGTAAACTGCAGGACAACTGCAATTTATATAACAATACCTTCCTCAGGACAGACAAAAGGAAGTACCTCTTTACTCAACCAGCAGTTGAATTATGGAATTCACTGCCAGAGGATATAGTTATGGCAGAAAACATAGGTGGCTTTACAAGGGGATTACAGAGATACATGGGGGAGAGGCCATCAGTGGCTACTCCACATTCAGAGTCAGTAAACCTCTGAATATCAGTGCTAGGAGGCAACATCAGGGGAAGGCCTTGGCCTCAGTGCCCTGTTTGTGGTCCTTCAGGTCAAATGACTGGAGCATACTGGACTAGATGGACCACTAGTCTGATCCATCAGGGCTTTTCTTATGTTCTTAATTTATGTTCTACTCAATCAGACCATAAACTAACTCAGAATAGTAAGTGAATTGACATTACACCACATTATGTGGGCAGCATAAATTAGTTCCATGGTAGATGATGTGTCAATGTAGATTGGGGATATGTTACGGTGCTTTGTAGACTGCATGGTCCTGTTTGATCTCTTTTAACACCAAGGAATATAGAAACACTATTAAGAGGAACACTGTCTCTTGACTCATGCAATTTGCTGTTAGAATTCTGCTGCATAAAAAACAAACTGGAAACTGGAAACTATGCAAATATTTCCTACATAGAAGTGTTTGTTTCTTGACCATCACTTGATGGCGAACAACCTCCCTTCTACTATATTATTATTTTATTACCATGAATTGTAACAATTTTCTTTCCTGCTTTCTGGGGTAAGTACTACCATCTCCATATAAATTAGGAAGTGGTTCCAGTGTTTCATCACTGGAATTTTATTGCCTCATCCCCATATTTGATGCTAATTTTGCTTTTGCAAAATTGAAGAGAGAGAGAGAGAGAAGTGTTTTCCACAAAATTTGTGGTGTCATTTGTATTCTCCCATCATGTCTTTTTCTGATATTTTCCTACAGCAGTGCAGAGAGGAAAATAATATGGGATTGTCAAGGAGCAGGTTATGTCCCATGTCTTAATAGTAATGGACCAAAATCCACAATTAACATTGTTACAGAATATGTCTATTAATTTGTATATTGCTGCAGAGACAGATCACTCATATAATGTTGAAAAGTGGGCTACTGTTCATTCTATTGGTTCTTGAACTTTTCAAGCCGGACTTTCTTAAATTCAGTCAAGTGTTACGTACTTCTGCATTCCAAGGAATGAAATGACATCCATAGCCCTTATTCAGAAATTATACCTTATGCTTAAGCTAAACTTCAGAGAGGGGATGCAACCCATTATTTTCTTTATAAAAACAGTTCACGTGCCTGTGTTATCACAGCATATCACAGGAACAGTCACAACCACTCACCGGGCATCACTCCTTTGATATCACATTCTGTGTTTGTCCTGTTCTTGTGAGATAAGTGAAGGATGAGCTTCTTTGCTGCTTCAAATTGCTGTGTGGCCATCAGCCATCGAAGAGATTCTGGGAAAATACTGCAAAGATGAAGAATACCTTAGTGGAGGCTTCCAAACAGCTGTCAATAGGAACTTCTGTTCATACATATAATGACTGTAGTTTCAAATAGCACAAGAACCCAGATTATTACCCTGCATTTAAAGTCAAGGAAAAATTATTTATGTTTTATTTATTTTTTAAAAGTACAAGCTTATGTACTTTTAAGTACAAGTGATCCCCTCATGGATTACTGCATTGTCGTGGTGAGAGGGCTTGCGTGGTTCGATGAGGCTGTGGGCTATGCCGTGGAGGGCCACCCAAGATGGACAGGACACAGCAGAGAACTCAGACCAAGTGTGATCCACTGGAAAAGGAAATGGCAACCCACTCCAGTATCTTTGCCAAGAAAACCCCATGGACAGTATCAAAAGGCTAAAAGATATGACACCGGAAGATGAGCCCCTCAGGTCGGAAGGTGTCCAATATGCTACTGGGGAAGAGCAGAGGGCAAGTACAAGTAACCCCAGAAAGAGTGAAGCGGCTGGGCCAAAGCCGAAAGGACGCTCAGTTGTGGATGTGTCTGATGGTGAAAGGAAAGTCCGATGCTGCAAAGAACAATACTGCATAGGAACCTGGAATGTAAGATCTATGAATCAAGGGAAGTTTGACGTGGTCAAAAATGAGATGGCAAGACTGAACATCGATATCCTAGGAATCAGTGAACTAAAGTGGACAGGAATGGGCGAATTTAACTCAGAAGACCATTATATCTACTACTGTGGCCAGGAATCTCGTAGAAAAAATGGTGTGGCCTTTATAGTCAACAAGAGAGTGCAAAAGGCAGTACTGGGATACAATCTCAAAAATGACAGAATGATTTCTGTCCGATTCCAAGGCAAACCATTCAACATCACAGTAATCCAAGTCTATGCCCCAACCACTGATGCAGAAGAGGCTGAAGTGGACCGGTTCTATGAAGACCTACAACACCTCCTAGAACTAACACCAAAAAATGATGTCCTCATCATCATAGGGGACTGGAATGCTAAAGTAGGAAGTCAAAAGGTAACCGGAATAACAGACAAGTTTGGCCTTGGAAAGCAAAATGAAGCAGGGCAAAGGTTAACAGAGTTTTGTCAAGAGAACACACTGGTCATAGCGAACACCCTTTTCCAACAACCTAAGAGGCGACTCTACACATGGACATCACCAGATGGGCAACACCGAAATCAGATTGACTATATAATTTGCAGTCAAAGATGGAGAAGCTCTATCCAGTCAGTAAAAACAAGACCTGGAGCTGACTGTGGTTCAGATCATGAGCTACTCATTGCAAAATTCAGACTTAAACTGAAGAAAATTGGGAAAACCACGAGGCCATTCAGGTTTGACCTAGATCGCATCCCTGATGAATATACAGTAGAGGTGAAGAATAGATTCAAGGGTCTGGATTTGATAGATAGAGTGCCTGAAGAACTATGGACAGAGGTTCGTGACATCGTACAGGAGGCAGCAATCACCACCATACCAAAGAAAAAGAAATGCAAGAAAGCAAAATGGCTTTCTGATGAGGCTTTACAAATAGCAGAGGAAAGAAGGAAAGCGAAAGGCAAAGGCGAAAAGGAAAGATTTACCCAACTGAACGCAGATTTCCAGAGAACAGCAAGGAGAGATAAGGAGGCCTTCCTGAATGAACAGTGCAAAGTAATAGAAGAAAACAATAGAATGGGAAGGACTAGAGATCTCTTCAAGAAAATTGGAGAAATCAAGGGAGCGTTCCATGCAAAGCTGGCCATGATAAAGGACAAAAACGGTAGGGACCTAACAGAAGCAGAAGAGATTAGGAAAAGATGGCAAGAATACACAGAAGAACTATACAAGAAAGACCTCGATGTCCTTGACAACCACGACGGTATAATCACTGACCTCGAGCCAGACATCCTGGAATGTGAAGTTAAATGGGCCTTAGAAAGCATTACTAACAACAAAGCTAGTGGAGGTGATGGTATCCCAGCTGAGCTATTCAAAGTCTTAGAAGAGGATGCTGTTAAAGTTCTGCACTCCATTTGCCAGCAAATTTGGAAAACGCAACAGTGGCCACAGGATTGGAAAAGATCAGTATACATTCCAATCCCAAAGAAGGGCAATGCCAAGGAATGTTCAAACTATCGCACAATTGCACTCATATCACACGCTAGTGACACTGTCTAACCATCTCATCCTTTGCCGTCCCCGTCTTCTTTGACCTTCAATCTTTCCCAGCATCAGGGTTTTCTCCAGTGAGTGCAAACATGTCTTTCAAATGCCGGGAAAGATGCCTGGCTTTAAAGTTTGATGCGAACGTATCAAGCAAGCTAGTACTGTGAAAGGGTCATTATGGCTCCTGATTCTGCCACTTTCTCCAGATACTTGGTGACATATCTCTGCAGGTCTGCTATTGGTTCACTGACTTCAGCCTTTGAGAAGTTCCTGGTGGTGATGCACTGTGCTAAAACTGATGCTGCTTTTGGAAGAGCAGTTCTTCAGAGCCTGTTTCTTCAAGACGACCTGCAGATAACATCAGGTACATGGCTCCCTAGTCATCAAATCACCGCAGACTGTGACTGCAGCCATGAAATTAAAAGACGCCTGCTCCTTGGGAGGAAAGCGATGGCGAACCTAAACAGCATGATAAAAAGTAGAGACATCACCCTGCCAACAAAAGTCCGCATGGTCAAAGCAATGGTATTCCCAGTAGTCATGTATGGCTGTGAGAGTTGGACTATAAGGAAGGCCGAGCGCCGAAGAATAGATTCTTTTGAACTATGGTGCTGGAGGAGACTCTTGAGAGTCCCTTGGACTGCAAGAAGAACAAATCAGTCAATCCTCAAAGAAATCAACCCTGACTGTTCCCTGGAAGGCCAGATAATGAAACTGAAGCTCAAATACTTTGGCCACCAAATGAGAAGGGAGCACTCACTGGAGAAGACCCTGATGCTTGGAAAGATTGAAGGTCAAAGAAGACGGGGACGGCAAAGGATGAGATGGTTAGACAGTGTCATAGATGCAACGAACATGAAGTTGAGCCAACTTCAGAGGACGGCAGAAGACAGGAAGGCCTGGCGTGATCTGGTCCATGGGGTCGCGAAGAGTCGGACTCGACTGTGCGACTGAACAACAACAACAACAACAACAAACAAACAAGCTTATAAAGTTAGTTACAGTTATACACTGTCATTTTTGTCACTTGTTTGTCCTTATTGCTTCAGGGTTCCCCCCCATGTGTTGTACTCTCTCTAGTAGTCCTAGAGGCAGCAAAACACATGCGGAAAGGGGGGGGGGAACCCAAAGGAATAGGGACAAACGAGTGATGAAAGTGACAGTGCGGAAGTGGCCAGAGAGAGAGAGTTCATAGGAAGAAAAGCCCTTCCAATCAATCAATGCCAACACTAGTAGTTAAGCAAACAGAGTATGGTACACAGTATATGGATATTACACTACACAAGGTCTTACAGACCCTCCTAAAAGCCATTAAGGAAGGACCCTGGCAGGGATCCTCATGCAAGCTGTTCCAACACGTTAGAGCAACAGCCAAAAATGCCAGATTCCTAGCAGGGGATGAATGCACTAATCAAGCAAACAGGTTTCTCAAAAAAGGAATGTAGTCTGGTCCACCTGGATACACAAATCTACAGCAGGACAGCCGGTCTTATTTAAACCTCATGAAGTATTTCAGCACTGAATGGTATGGGCTTTATTTATTGTATAATGGATATGGAGGAATGCAAATGGAAACCCTGCATAAGAGAAACTGATAATCCATTATGATTTTTCAGGAAAAAACTAACAAAAGAAAATCATAGACTCTTTAACCTCCTCCCAATCACAATTCTTAAGAGGCTTTGGGGGTATCCATGACAATTAAAAACCTTGTCATCAGTAGGACTAAGAGAAGACAATATAAAGCAAACAGAGAAGAGAGGAGTGCCTTAAGCATTGGGAGAAAGAAAATGAAAGAGTATGTAGTGTAAAATGGCTGAGAGATCCAGGGAAGAGAGAAGGAGAAGGAGAAGAAGAGATTGGATTTATACCCCGCCCTTCATTCGGAGTCTCAGAGCAGTTTACAAGCTCCTTTCCCTTCCCCTCCCCACACCCTGTGAGGTAGGTGGGGCTGAGAGAGCTCTTTCCAGAACTGCTTTTTAAAGGATAGCTCTTGTCAGAATTATGGCTTGCCCAAGGTCATCCAGCAGCTGCAAATGAAGGAGTGGGGAATCAAACCCAGTTCTCCCAGATTAGACTCTGCGCACTTAACCACTGCACTAAACTGACTCGCTTTCAGATGCTGCCATGGCTCTGTCTTCAGGAAAAAGCAATGCAACCTAATTTGAATACAAGTTTTGCAATTAAGTATGATAGTTCAATAACTACATTTTAGAAAAACTAATTTCTATCAGACTAAAACTACCTTGATTTTGTTTTCATGCCTTTTTAGTTGGCATGGTGTAGTAAAACAAAACATGTATTTTTGGCACCTGAAAGACTAACAATGTTTCAGCATAAGTTTTCACAGTCTAGAACCTACTTTTACAGAGGAGAAATGGAATAAAAAATCGTTAGTGTATAACATGCCACAAGGGTTCTGTTTCTGCTTCCCAGCAAACCACTGGAGAAGAAGGGCAGAGGTGAGAGACCAATCTACAAATTAATGGTTTTCTTGTCTCCTTCATTTACCTGGCTCACAAATATAGTAGTTCTCACATACGAAGAGAAGGAAAAATCAAATCCAACTCAGCAGTCTCCAAAAGGTAGCTTGTGAGCTACTAGCAGCTCTCAGGTTGCTGCGGAGTAGCTTGTGCATCCCCCAGAAGACCCAGAAAAAGATGAAAAAAGGCCTCTTTAAAAGTTGTTTCTTCATGGGATTTTCCCATGCTGCTCAGTTTGAAGCTTCATTTCTTTTTGTTTTGTTTTTTGTGGGTATTTGTGTGTGTAACGAAGGGACTGGGGCGAAATGGAGAAAATCCTAAGTAGATCCACTAAAAATCCTACTTAGGCCCTGGTC